TTTTTTTTCATATGCAGTGAGCTACAGAACAACTAGAGCGGGCATTTAACTTGGAAGGCCGAGTACTTGTTCAGATCTACTTTTCCTTCCACTGGACGATATGCTGGACATTGGCTAGGTGACAATAGCGCTACATGGGAGGATCTTCAGTCAGCAGTGATTGGTGCGCAGGAATTCAGCATGTTTGGCTTCCCGTAAGCAAAATTCTACGTCGAAGAGAATATCAAGAACGAGGAGTGGTTCAGGTATATAGGCTCTGATATTTGCGGCTTTAATGGAAATACGACTGAGGAACTGTGTCTGAGATGGCAGCAGATGGGAGCATTTCACACTTTTATGAGGTAAACAAAATTTAGCAAAATCATTGCGCGAAATAACTAGTGTATGATACTTGTTTGTGAATTGGAAGCGACATTGAATCTGACCAAAATTGTGTTAGCTCAAATCAAAAATTCATATTTCTTATGTTTATTCATCAAGTCACATGCTTATCTTTTTGTTCACTAGGAAGAATGCACTACCTGACTACTTTAAAATCGCATTGGTGATATCTTTGTGCGCAAAACTACTTAAAACAAATTTTTCCATAATTGAGGTAGCTATGTATGGAAAAACTTTTTGTTAATTCTTTTCACAGAACTATTTCAAGATATTGCCGCTTTTCCTTGTAAGGTTCGAATTGCTATGCTTTACAAGTACCCTGCTGCGTAAACAGTAAATAGCTTCACACATGTGAGGCAATTTATCCCTCTAGGAATCACAATGGCAAAGGTCTTCCACCTCAAGATCCTGCTCAATGGAGTTCGGTTACTGAAGCCACCATCAAAGCTAACCTCTTCCGCTATAGCTATTTACCATACCTCTATAGGTAAGTAAGGTAGCTAATCCAATAGAAGCCATGGAAAGCTCTTTTCAGCTTGCATTTCCAAGCCTCTATGTATGGAAAAACAGTCATTCGCCCCGTCTTCTACGAGTTTCCAGAAGACAGCAAAACTCATGATCTGGGATATGAATTCCTATGGGGCAGCTCTATGCTCATTGCACCGGTGTTGCATGAGGTTCGGTCTAAGAATTCTTTACGCCTTAACTTACGAGTGCTTATCTAGGGAGCAACAGAAGTCAAAGCCTATTTGCCCAAAGATGACTGGTATTCACTGTTTGATTACAAATATGGCCAGCTCATCAGTTATGGTAACCAGACATTTCCCGCTCCATGGACTTCACTGATTCCAGTTCTAGTCAGAGGTACAAGTTCAAAATTTGGACTGTCTCATACGGCTATTTATGTTACTACAGGTGGCTCGATACTGCCTCGTCAGAAGCCGGATGTTACAACGGAATACACGCGCAAGAATGCTTTCGAATTATTGGTAGCTCCTTCAAGAACTAACGGTAAAACATTACCTATTCGCAAATCATCGAACAGAAATTTACGAAAAAGCCAATAATGCTTCAAAAACTTGCTTGAGGGAAGGCAGAGACATTACGACCAGGGTCAAGCGTGTGATGCGACTGTCGCAACG